TGGCTACAGTCACTTGGTTGGAGCAGACTTTGTTGTACAGGCTTTTGGGAAGCCATTCTATGGAAACCGTTTTCTGGAGGTTTCTTATGATTACATCTACGACAAGGGACAGGTTGAGATCTTGATCGGTGCCTCTGGCATTATTTCCCTCGCCGAGGAGTTGTACCTTCGGAGTGTCGCGGGCGAGGAGATGGCGAGATGTATGACATATATCAGCAAGATCAACCCTGCGACATCTTTTGACATCAGCTATGTGGTCCCGGAGTCGATAGCCACTCAGGTTCTCAATGATGAGGAGGACCAGTGTGTACCAGATATGGAGTCCCAGACCGTCGAGCCCACTCACGAGGGGGTACCACTCGTCTTCATCGATTGAGGCTCGTATCTTCTACTCACTGTGATGAATTATGACACTATTATGATTATCAGTGACTGCAGCCCCTCTCATGGCTGCTTCCTGCATTCTTTGTGTACTACTCATCAGTCTCGTGTCTCTAGTCATGCTCTTGCAGAGTCTGGTTTCTGGTCTTCCTGTCCTCTCAGGGTCATTTGTTTTATGATGCATGTCCTGTAATGTATGAAATGTTTTATGCATGAGATGATATGTTATTTATCACTCCTTATCATACAGGTTACACTCAAGGCAACCTAAAGGACTCCTGGATAATAGGGACTCCGGTGACCTTGAGTCTGACCTTTATACGGGGTCAGGAGCAGGCGATAAACCCGAACGCCTCACTCTAAGTCGTCTCACTGCTGGCAGGAGGGATAACCTTGACTACTCGACTGCGTGACAAGTGTTGCTTCCAGAATATACTCCTTATAAAATTCCTCTTTAACACTTAACAAAATCCTGTGTAACAGCCTGCCAGTACACCAACCCACTGCACTCGGCCCGGGGAGGGACATCGGTCCTAGCCCTGGAAGCGTTGGGGGCGCGACAGTGGGATCAATGCATAGCATATATCAGTGGTGGAGACTTCGTCATGCGCCTTTTTGGCCTTCCTTTCGTTCCTCTCCTTCCTCTCCTTTCTCTACTTCATCTACTCCCTTCCTTGCCCGTTTACACACGAGCTCTCCTCCCCCCTCTCCCCCTTCCCAACCCTCGCCCCTCGTCCCCAAAACCATCCATCATCCCTGTTTCGTAACATCCCCCCTCTTACCCCTTGAACCCCCCCCCCGCCTTCCAAAGCCCATGGAAGATGTCCCTCCCTCTGACGACACCCTACGTGGCATGGGGTAGAAAAGCGCTTCAGGGAACTGCCACGCCCTTCCCACAATTTGGCGAGATGATCTGCGCTGATACAGGAGCGCACTAGATCTGGAGGATAGAGCTGAAGCGGGATCATCATCTCCCCCTCTCCCTTCCCCCACACCCCTCTTCCCAATTTCTCCTCCTGTCCCTCCTATCCCCTCCATTCTCCCTTCTCATCCTTTATGGAACTACATGGACGGTTGACAGCAGAGAAGTGAGGTGTGCGACATAATTGATTGTTTTTCATAATCAGAGACATGTATCTTGTTCATTGGTGTTGGAGCAGTAATATTCGTGATCTCGATTTTGCCATCCAGCCTCCTTCCCTCAACGCCTGATTGTCGTAGCCTCCATGTTATATGTGCACTCCTCTCCCTCTTCCGTACCGGAAATACCTTTTTCTACCCTTCCCTCCTTCCTTTCCTTTCCTTGCTCTCCCTTTCGATCTCCCTCTCTCTCTCTCTCTCTCTCTCTCTCTCTCTCTCTCTCTCTCTCTCTCTCTNNNTCTCTCTCTCTCTCTCTCTCTCTCTCTCTCTCTCTCTCTCTCTCTCTCTCTCTCTCTCTCTCTCTCTCTCTCTCTCTCTCTCTCTCTCTCCATTGGTAGTTTTGTCTTGCTTGCTTTCGTTCTATTAGTCTGAAACCTTTTTTTCGATCCGTTTCGTTTTTTCTCTCCCTCTCTCTCTCTTCCCCCTCTGCTTTCCCTCTCCGTCCTCCTGCCTCATCTCCTTCTCCCTCCTCCTCTCTCATCCCTCCTCGTCTCCCCCATGTATGTTTTTTCGATGACCTGTTGGGATCTGCTATGTGAATTATATATGCATATCAATTGGAGAATTTGGAATGGATGCACTTGTTTGATTGCTTCTCAAGGAAAGAAGCACCCCCACCCCACTCGCTTCGTTTCGCCACCTTCGCGTAGTTGGCTGCCTTCAACTAAAACGACCTTGTTTTTACCCTCACCGCAAATGGACACACGAATGGTTTTACCCTGCTGCGTTGAAAGATCGCCCCCTGCTTCTTGTATCTTGCTCACAGTGTGCCGACATGTCTGCTCGGAGCAGTACGGGTATGGTGTGTCATGCTCGTACGAAACTCATGTGTGCTACTACCACGCCCTTCCTGCAATTCGGCAAGATGATAGATTTGGAGGCCACGCTAGGAGGTGCTCAACAACCCTCTACAGACGGAAAAAGAAGAAGAGTCCACAGGAGTGGAAGAAGGAGGGAAACCGATTGATGATGGTTGATGCCGATGGCACTGAAACTAAGATCGACGACTATTCTGACTTAGTGGATGGTTCAGAGTTTGATGGCGAGGATAGTGCTGAGGGTAGCAACCTCGTTGCCTTAGTAAAAGTTAAGGCCAGTGGCCATGGCAAGGGCGGTCAACAGAGGCATCAGGGGCAAACCCAGAACCCGAACAAGATTGCGGCTTAGGTGAGAGCGGGTTTGGATCAAGATGTGTGGCAGGACCGTTATATGTGGGGTGCTTGCATTAACTGCGGCAAGTATGGCCATCGACATTTCAAATGCAAGAATGCAAAGGTTTCGCAGAAGATACCTCCCGAAGGTGGGGTTCCTTTTTCTTCCCAGGGTGGGGCCTTTACGAGTTCCAGCTCGGGAAACACATAGGGCCAGTAGAAGTTATAGCTGCTTCTACTCGTGTTGAAGCGGGTGATGTACCCTGTTCGTTTCAAGAGTTGGTCGAAGCTATTGACTCCTTAGTCACCCCGTAGACGCATCCTGACCCAACAATACTCTATTCGTTGGATGTGTCTAAGGCCTTAGAGGACCTACAAAGTGAGTGGTTGGCAAGGGACCCTCGCGAGTCCTGGGTGGCATTAAGTCGAGGTCCTAGAGGGGAGCACTTCGTTGTGGAAGTTGGTGTAGGTGGCCGCAAGTATGGTGCCTTCGTAGACATGGGCTCCACGCGAAACTCTATAAGTTGCCACTGCGTTGACAAACTGCGCCTACAGGAACGGGTGCAACGCCTTAGTAGACCGGTAGCATATACTTTGGCCAATAAAGAGCGCATGATGGTCGAGGACGACGTCAAGGTCGTGGTTTGTACTTTCTCCCATGCAAGAGGGCAACTTAATCATAAGATTTCGTTCCTGGTTAGCCATGACTTACCGTTTGACATGTTGTTAGGTATGTACTACCTTGAGGTTGCCAAACCCAAGTTTGACTGGGACAAGAAAGTGCTAAGGCATGAGTTGCGTAATGGGAGGACCGTTAGACTGGCTAAGTATAAAGCTAGTAGGTTAATTGACTCCTACGGGTGCTTGTGCGCACAAGCGGTCTACAAAAGAGAACCAAGAAGAAGGTATGTACCTGGTTTTTGTCTCTGAGAAAGGGGAGGCCGTTAAATCACCCCCAGAGATAGAAAATGTTGTTTCTAAGTACCCTGATCTGTTTGAGGAGCTTATAGGGGTCGTCGACAGGGAGGTTGTCCATGCCATAGAGATCATCCCCGGTAGCAAGATACCTAAAGGGAGAATCTATAGGATGGTTCCGACCGAGTTGGACGAGCTTTGATGACAACTGAAAAAGCTTACACAAAAGAGCTGGATACGGCCTAACATCTCCTCCTTTGGCTCACCCGTTCTATTTGTCGCGAAAAAGGGGGGATCACTAAGGATGTGCATTGATTATAGGGGTCTCAATGCCATCACCGTTAAGAACGCAGAGCCTCTACCTCGCATCGACGACCTGTTGGATAAAGTGCAGGGATGTAAGTACTTTACCAAGATAGACTTGAAATCTGGCTACAATCAGATTTCGATTAGATAGGAAGACCAACACAAAACCGCATTTCAGACCAGGTACAATCTGTACGAGTTTGTGGTGATGTCCTTCGGCCTTTGCAATGCGCCCAGTACATTCCAGCATGCCATGAATAGGATCTTTCATGACTACTTAGATAAGTTTATCGTCGTGTACCTCAATGACATTCTTATCTTTTGTAAGATTGTCGAGGAACATGCTCAACATGTAGACAAAATACTTTCTCTCCTCCTGCAACACAAGTATAAGACAAACTTAAAGAAATGTGAGTTCGGTCACACTAAAATCTCGTACTTGGGTCATGAAGTCTCCGGGGAAGGGATTAGGCCCGAAGATGCGAAGGTGGCTAGCATTCGAGACTGGCCACGACCTCAGTCTGTGACCGAGGTCAGATCATTCTTGGGGATGTGTAGCTATTATCACAATTTTGTAAAGAACTATAATACGATTGCCTCCCCCTTGACTGATCTAGCGCACCTTGACACTCCATGTGAGGCTGCTTTCAAGAGATTGAAGTATGCCCTCACACATCATGAGATTCTCATGGTTCCCGATCTTGAAAGGTCATTTGTTGTAACCACTAACGCAAATCAATTTGGCATTGGTGCAGTGCTGGCTCAACAGGAAGGGAAGAAGTTGAGGCCAATCAAGTACATGAGCAAAAAGATGCCATCAAAGAATTTTGTTAAGTTCACCTACGAAAGGGAACTATATGCCCTCTATAAGGCACTTGTCCAATGGAGACACTATCTGTTGGGAAGGTTCTCCTATCTGAGAACTGACTACCAGACACTCAAGTGGATCTAGACACAACCTTTTTTGTCTGATGCACTCAAACGCTGGATTGAAGTCATAGGCCAGTATGACTTCAAACTAGACTACGTGAAAGGAGAGTATAACAGGGTTGCTGATGCGTTGTCACGTAGGGCACATTACCTAGGTGCACTGGTTAATGAGTTTGGCTTATATGACAATGTAACTTGATCATTGGTGGAAGCCTACAAGGAAGACCCTGTCACGATGGACATCATGCACAAACTAGAGGCACAAGACAAGGCCACATCTGATGAGTTTGTGATGGTGGATGGGTTGCTCTTTCTTGAGAAGGCAGGATTTAAGAGGTTACTTGTTCCATCTAGAAAGATTTTGCGTAGTTTATTTTCAAGAGAGTGCCACGACACAACGGGACATTTTGGCTACAAGAAGACTTCTGCTAACCTAGTACAACGATTCTGGTGGCCTAACATGCTTGACGATGCAAAAAAAGTATGTACAGACTTGCCAGGTTTGTCAGCGGGAAAAGCCGCGAACTCAAGCCCCGCTTGGGTTACTCAAGCTCCGCTTGGGTTACTCAAGCTCCGCTTGGGTTACTCAGGCCCTTGCCCATTTCCGCTGGTCCGAGACAGAGCGTTTCCATGGACTTCATGGACACCCTCGTGACCAGCAGGAGTGGCAAGCGGCACATATTCGTCATAGTTGATAGGTTCACTAAGTATGCTAAACTAATCGCCATGCCAATGACAACAAGTATTGAGCACGTCATCAAGTTGTTTATGGATAACTGGGTGCGTGATTTTGGGCTCCCTAAAACGATTGTTAGTGACAAAGATGTTAGGTTCACCAACAAAATGTGAAAGAAGGCTGCTGAACAGATGGGCAGTCAACTCCAGATGACTTCAGGGAATCATGCGGAAGCCAACGGGCAGGTTGAACAAATGAACCGTGTGGTGCAGCATCTACAGAGGCATTACATTAAGCCTTGGCAGGACGAGTGGAATGAGAAGTTACCTCTTATCACCGGTCTATATAACAATGTTGCACACAGCACCACTGGCGTCAGTCCGAGTCAATTGCATTTGGGGTGGAAGCCTAGATCTGCTCTAGACTTCTTCCTGATTGAAAATCGATCCGCTGCAACTCCTGTAACCATTGAATTTGGTGTCCAATACGAGAAGTTGTTGCAGCAGGTTGTCGAACACATCAACAAGTCTCAAGAAGCAATGATTGCTTTCGAGAACAAGCATCGACAACAATCCACATTTCAGGTAGGGGAACATGTCAAGGTAAAGGCCAGTGAACTAGGACAGGAATTCGCCATCACTAGGAAACTAATGCCTTAGTATTTTGGTCCTTGGGAAGTCTTAGATATTGTGGGTAGTGATTTGGATGGTCCTCATACATGATTAGAATCCCTGGTCACTTGCGCACTTACCCTGTGGTTCACTCCTCAAAGCTTGCACCTTTCGCTAAGACACAGCAATTCCCATCAAGGAGATCAATGCTGGCCCCAAGCATGGATGGTCACGTGGACGTCGACGATATTCTGGAACATAGAGACATGCATGCTCCCAAGCCAGCTGGCCGGGGAAGACCGCCTAAACCTATGAGAGAATACCGGGTTCGGTTCAGGCATCATATGGATCCTAAGGAAGATCGTTGGTTCACAAGAGAGGAACTTGTCAAGACAGCTCCTCAGATCATGGTCGAGTACCAAGAAAGACTGAAGAGGAAGGCACCTCAATGAAGCATCTCAGTGGTCTTTCGGAGCTAAGGGGGATGAAATGCGAGGAATGAGCCCTCACGGGGCCCTTATCAGACATGCACATGTTTTGGGCAGAGGCCCACAGCAAGCCCTGTGCCCGCCCTAAGTGAAGGCGGGCCTGGATATTCACAAGAGGCCAAAATTTGACATTTTTCCATATGTGGGTACTCAGGCAGTTTCAGCACACCAGTTGGTTACAAGGAAACTTGAGCCTCCCAGATACATCACGAGGTGGCCACGGGCCTATCAGAAAGCAGCATTGTCGACATACCTACCCTGGGGCATGTGCAAATGCAGCAAACGGGCGAAGTCTGGAAATCCTGGGTGTGCCCAACTGTAAGTGGCCCAGGCCTTCAACTGCAGTGATGGGCCTAGGCGCAGGCACTGGGGTCCGACAGGAAGCTACTGGAAGCTTCTCAGCCAGGCCCACACGCAGCCAAACAGAGCCCGCCACTTCCATATAGGAAGTAAGGCAGCCAGGGGCTGGCATTCGGCCCTCGCTGGCAATGCGGTCACGCTGCTGTGCTGCTGCGCAAGTCGCTGCTTGCTGCATTATCGGCCAGGGGTGCATGCGGGCGCTTGGGAGGTGAGAGGGGCGCTGCAGGGCAGCGGTGTACGAGCATCCAAAGCCGGGCTGCAGGGCGCAAGGGGATAAGGGGCGATCGGTGGTCTTCAGGAAGGAGGCGAGTGTGGGTGGTCAGGGGGTGATGAGGGGAGACGAGATACATACCTGGTGCATGAGGGAGGTCGGCTATGGTGTTGACGTCATCTACTGTTGCATACCGTATAGGTGCAGACCAGAACAAGAACCGACCTTTCAATACAAAGTATAAGATAGCACAGCGGAAGACTTAGATACCAATGATCCGAACAATCAATATTGCAATTCAGCCCCAAACATACATCATCATCATCATTCCATGGTGTGAAGGGGTTTGGCGCTTCACACTGGAAGACTGCGCCAGCCCCAACCATACACAGACGAAGGAGATGGGGGTTAGACGAAGAAGAGGGGAAGATGGGAATGTCGTCAACACCAAGTGTTCAGCACAGGCCCAAATAGTCCCTCGTCGAAATGTCTGAATCCCAAAGGTCGAGTCTGGATCCAATGCCATTAAGTCTCAAGTCACAACTCTCTCTCTCTCTGTAGTAGTCCGCTGATACTGAGAAGTCAGGTGGTGAGAGGGGAAAAAGAGATGGTGGACATAGAGGAGGAAGA